TGTTTCCTTAGGAGATGCACACAAGGTCACACCATCGACCTCGCTGCCCACCTTATTGCTCTGACAAGACTGGAATCTTGGCTTTCTAGTTTTCAGCTTGTCTTATTTAAGAGGCGGGCCGAGGGGAAGCCTCTGAAAAGACTCACTAGGAGCAGTGTCCATCACACCAAAGATGGAACAGGGACCCCGGCATGCGAGGTGCACAGAAAGAGTCTCCCACTGAGGACTGACTTACAGGGCCCTCGCCTCTGGCATCACCACAAAGCTGAGTATCGAGTGATGTGCCGACGGAGCATCTCACACAGAGGCATCTTTTTGACAAGGACCCTTAAGAAATCTCAAAGTAAGGGTGGTAAAATCTCAGAAACACAAAGCACCAGGCTGCCTGTGGTTTATCGCACTGAGTAGTTGTAACCCAGAGTTCACAGAAGGCTCTGCAAGGGAATAAGGTAAATAAATTGATGTTATGTAGAAAAATGAGCAGACCACTTGTAATAGATGGCTAATTTCAGCATTAATTAGTCCTTGGTAATTACCAAATGATTGCTGATTCTGTTTTCTTACATGATCTATGAAGTCCAAAAAGGCACATTAAAGAAGAGAATAAACATTCACGAGCTAGAATTTAAAAGAAATGAAAGTGAGGGGAGGGAGGAGGGCAGGTGGCCAGTCCAGAGAATGAGGAGGGAAAAACAAGGGAAGCACCTATAGTTACAGCCAAAGCGGCCAGCCCTCAGTGACTTCCTGTTATCCATCAAAAGGTACATTTGTTAACTAAAACTTATATGAAAACATTTTAAAACAAAAAAGAGCCTTTCAGAAAGTTTTTAGGTTTTAATGAATTGGGGCTAGATGATAAATTTGCATTAAGCTTTGCAGTATACATTATTAATAGTATTTTTATAATTTCAGCTTTTCTTACATTTTATACATCTGCATCCCTGGTCAATGTTTTCAGATAGAAGTTAGAACTGTGACATGTGACCTTTTCAGTAGATCTTCGGTGCTAATCATTGAGCAGTTCCCAGGAACTTCAGGGGAGAGCTATACATTTCCCATCCCCATCCTCAAATTCTCAGCCACTGAGACACAAACAGCCCATGAGGGTCACCCTCTTGGGGCAGGACCTCTGAGCAGCTGTGCCTGACTCTTCCTTCCCAATACGGGGAGAGGCAGTGTCTTCTGTGGTGAAGAGCAAAGGTTTTGGAATCTGATGAACCTAGATTCGAATTGATCCAGGACAAGTTACTGAGCTCAAGTTCCTCTGTATACAGTGAGCACACGAGTTAGGCTGTTGTGTGGCCCAGGTGCAGGGAGACACTCGGGCCTCATGAATGTCCCTACATTACTGTTGGTTCCCCCAGACCCCTGTGCCTGGTTTGGGGAACGCTGCTCTGGACAAGATAGGCACCAGCTTTTTGTCACATGTCATGGAGTTTATATTCCAGTGAAAGAGAACAGAGTAAAACAAATAAAGGGAAGGTGGAGTGAATCGAAAGAAATAAGTTCAGGCAGCTCATCTCCAAATGATAACAGAAGCCAGTCATGGTAAAAGAGGATAAAAGGTATGTTGGGCAGAAGGGGCAGCAAGTGAAAGGCCCCGGAGGTGGGGGTGGTGATGAACATGCTCTGTGAGAGGAAGCAAAAGGCCAGTGAGGTGAAACAGTGGGCAAGGATGGGAGTACAGAAGGGGATTCCATCACCCAGGTGGGAAGGGGCCAGTTGATGGGGAGTCTTGGTGGTCAGAGTAAGAATTTGAATTTTATTGTAACTCTAAACAGAATCTATTTTAGGACCTTAAGAAGGGAGATGGTGATCTGCTTTATACCTACAGACATTCCATACAACTGCCATGAGGAGTATAGATAACAAGGAGGGAGAGGCATGAGAGGCTCTGGGGGAGAGATGATGGAGTCTTGGGAGCAATGGAGATGGGAAACAGAATTTTAAATATATTTTAGAGGCAGGGCCAGAGGAACATGCCATAGATTAGCTATGGGGTGTGGTGAGGAAATGATGGCTATCAAAGATAATTCTTATGTTTTTGGCCTAATTGGGCAGTGGCGCCATTTGCTAAGATGGGGAAGACCCACCAGGGGAGGAATGGGTTTGGACAGGGAAATTGGAAGTTGGCTTTGGACAAGTTGAGCCTGAGAATCCTGTTACTCATCCCCATGGAGGTGTCAGGTATACAGTTGGCTATGGGTCTGTAGCTCTGGGGAGAAGCCAGCTTTTCAGAACTCTGAGTATGATAAGCAAGGCCAAGTGAGTATGGTGTCCCAGCTCAATATCCTTCCAAATGTGTGATTGTGTTTCCTTCCTACTCCCTCCTATGCTAATGATCTCTCTCCCATCCTCCTCCTTACATTCATTCCCTTTCTTCTCTTGGCCCTATTTCGGAAAACCCAAATCAGGGTTTTTTACTGTTGGCTTTGAGCATTCGAATGAAAATACAGACAACTAAGAAAAATTCCTCCTAAGAGATGCTGTCTTCAGTGCACATTTGGCACAGGATCCCCAATTGGAATTGCTCTACACTGTGAATTGTTCGTCCATGTGCCCTGATGGTCCAGAACTTTCAGCTCTCTCCTTCTCCTCTCAACGTGGCCACACTTCTCTTAGCTTGTCCCCTGTGCCTTGTTTTTGGACCTAACACCCTTCCTTCAGAGCCCAAGTTTTGCCTGCTAGAGGAGAGATGAAATGCTTTCTGCTCAGTCACACTGTGATTGCAGTTGCCGTGCATAAAGGGATGATAGCATGAATGCTCTGTCACCCAGCAGCCCTCTTTAATCTTGCCTTTCCCACCTTGTCTCCAAGAAAGGGCCACCTGGAAGCCTTGTGGGAGCACCATCCCAGATGGATGTCCCTAACTGTAGTGCCTGACCTCAGAGGGAGTGCCAAGGTGCACATGGGCCCCCTCCCAGGCCACAAGCTGGAACAGGCACTCAAGGTCTGTGCCTTTGGGGCCCTGTTTCCCCTGGGGTGGAAGAGGCCCCAGCCCTGGACAGGAGTGACAATGCATGTTAATTAGCACTGTGCAGAGCTGTCATCAGGAAGCCAGAATCCACATGGTCCCAACCTGGTTTGGGGTTGGCACAGCAAATTCAAACCAGCTGGCCTTTGTTTGGAAATGCCCTGGGAGTGTTCTAGCCCATTCTGGACAACAGAGGGGCAGGCATTTCCTTACCCGGGGCACTGTTTTAGATGAGAGGTTCTATAAACACTGTAGCAAGTGCCGTGACGGATCTGGTTCAGGGGCGTACATACCCTTCTCTGATTTGCTAGCAAGTAGGACATGGCGTGAGCTTAGTTGTAAGGGTCGTTATTGAAAGGCATGGGGAGGAAACATAAATTTTGTCCGTCAGTGTCCCCTTTATTAAAATTCTCTCATGACTACCTGCCTGGAAGATAAAGTCTAAACTCCTTTCCAAGGTCCTATGTAATTGTCCCCCCCCCAACTCATCTCTGATCTTAACAGAATCTGACTTCCAGCCCCCCTCCCCCAGCTCCTTACTCCACCCATTCGGAGTGATTTTCAGTTCCTAGAAGGGGCCTGACTCTCCACTTAGGTCTTCACTCACACCCCTTGCTGTGCTGGATACAGTCTCCCTCTAGCTAAATGGGCCCTCACCCTCCAGGGGCCAGCTGCACTGACCATTCCTTGGGGTAGCTGGGTTTGGTGGACTGTCCCTGGTGTGGGTTTCAGCATAATATTGACCGTGCTACTTTGCAGCTGTCTGTTTACTCAGACCTGCCAGGCCCCAGGAGGTTGTGCTGATCTTGTTAATCCCTGCTTCTCCAGTGCTGGGCACCACAAAAGCCTTTCAGAAATGTTTGACTGAAAGCCCCCCACTCCGGCGACCCAGACCTTGCTCAGCTCATGCCTCCTCTGCTAACATCTCCTAGCCCATGGCGAAGCCAACAGGACTCCTCACCGCAGAGGAGCTCAAAATCGAAACGGTGTCCCCATCATGAGATGATAGCACATTGAAGACTTTTTTTGGTACTTAGAAACCATGTCAAGCCAGCCTATTCAAAACGCAGGTCTGGTGACCACATGAGGCATGTGAGCTGGAGTTTCCGCCTCAAACACACAAAGGGCCAAATTCTGTTGGAGCAGAAGGAGCGGATGAAGAGACTCCTAACCCTGGGTGCACCTTCGGTGGTTGCTGCCTGATACCTGTGAGAACTTGGGCGAAGCCCATCTCTTTCGTCTGCCTCAGTCATCTTGTCTTGAAAGTGGGCACAGTTATACCCACTTCGTCATGTTGCAAGAACAAACAAGACAGGGTTTGTTTACCGAGTGGTCAGTAGATTTTATGCCCCTTCACATTCGGCATAGCTATTGTTACAGTTATAAAAATGAGATGGCCTTTAAATGTTGTGGTTCATAGTTTTCCCATTGGAAATAAAGTCACTAAAGTTAAAAAAAAAAAAAAGCTCCAGAATGGCATGTAGAGAGGACTCCCATTTCTTACAGAGAAGGTGCATGTGGATGTGTATAAGTGGATGTGTTGGGAAAACGTCCAGGTGAACTTTCTTTATTGGGTTAGCAGGGGCTTCCTCTGAGACGTGGGTTTATGGTTGATCTTAATTTTACTCCTTTTGCTTGATTATATTTTCAATATCACATGAACATATTACTCATGAAGTGGGTGATGGTAGAGATGAGATACGATGTTTAAAAAGGAAAGGGAAAAGGGGTGCCTGGGTGGCTCAGTCGGTTGAGCATCTGACTCTGGGTTTTGGCTCAGGTCATGTTCTGTTGCTGATAATGTGGAACCTGCTCGGGATTCTCTCTCTCCCTCTCTCTCTCCCCCTGCCCCACTTATGCTTTCTCTCTCAAAGTAAACAAATACACATTAAAAAAATAAATTAAAAAGATAAAAAGGAAAGGAAAAGAAATGAAAGAAGTTAACTAGAGGCCAAGAAGGAATGGCCTATGCTTGCTCTGCAGTGTACTTCTTCCTGCTATTAAGCCTGTTTCTTTCTCTCGGCAGGATTTTTCACCCAGATCTCCACCTTGGCTGATGTGCAGGAAAATGTCATGGAATACCTGCATGTACTCAGCCGGCCCAAAGTCATCGATCAGGAGCACGACGTGGTATGGACTGAAGCTTACATCGACAGCACTGTGAGTCCCTGGGGCCCTTGGGGGAGAGCCTGAGGGTTTTCCTCTGTGAATTCCAGAAGATGGTGTTAACCTTAAAAATAAAACTGTCAGTTATTTGACCAGCAAAAATGCGTTTATTCAGGAATAGTAGACGATTGCAATCCAGGACAAGCAAGCTACAGCAAAACCATAGGCAAGTCCAACGTTACTTTATGGAGAAAAAGGAGAAAGTTGGGAGGGGTTGTTTTGAACTAAAATCCACTGGAGAGAAGCAAGAGTTCAAGGTGATGATGGTTTCCCATTGGCTGGGTTGCAAAGGTGCTTGATTTCTTGTAGACGATGCAATGTACATCTTTTCCTGTTGGGGCCTGTAACTGGTGATCCTTTCCTGTTGAGTAGTCTTCTGTTGGGTCTGTGATTGACAGTTCTTCTGACCGGTCTCCCTTTCTAGCAACCAAGTCCACTTGAGTGAGGTTTTCTTTCATTAATTTTTACAATGGCTGTTCTATCACTCTTCCTCAATAATGGAGTTTGATGACATTTTCCTTTGTGGTACAGTTGTGTTGGTCCTCTGGGCAAGCAAGGTTGGTAAAAAATCATAATATCAGAATGTAACCAGCACTTTTGGCAGGTGTCTGCTCAGCACTTTGTTTTCCTTCCCATATGTGTACAGATTCTATCAGTAGCAGTTATTATGGGCTTGTTAGATTCAGTGCTAACCATCTGAGAGGACCGGTCCTGATGATGAATCTTGAGGTCTCAGCTTGGGAAGGTGACCAACGTTTAGCTCCAACAGTAAATTGGAGCGGCCGTAGAGGCCACAGCTGCATTCTCTTCCTAGAGACGAGTGAGAATATGCTTCAATGGTGGTTACACAGGCACTGGATTGATGTTGGAACTCTGGCCATGAGCTCGTTCTAAAGCAAATTCCAAGCAAAAAAAAAAAAATCTGATGCAGAATTAGTGTAAAAGGAGGAGCTTTGCCAATCATCTAGTAATGGCTCAATGGCCAGGTTTCTTGTGTAATTTCAGGGTGATTTTTCAGAGTGATAATGAGTCTGATGGGAGTGGCATTTTTCATTTATTGATTGTAAATGTTCTCACAGGGCCTCTCTCCCATCGTTTTTGTTGGGATTAACATCACATTAATCACTGTAACCCAGGCACAGCTGTCCTCTGGAGTGATCTCAATGGCTGTGGTGGGCCGGCTTTTCTCTCCATGAGCTCTCTCATTCTTGCTGCATTTCTGGCAGCTGTAGGTGAATGCAGGGCAGAAACAGCATATGGGGACCCAACTTGGGGGACACCGTGGTGGCCTACCCCTTCCCCGGGAGAAATCACCCTGCATAGAGATGGACGCTAAGGTGAAAAACCCTCTCTGGTTGCCAGGGAGACCTGGGGCATTCATCATTTCCGTAGTCTGACCCCAGTTTGGTTTAGAATCATGGCAATGAAATAACTAAGCTGCCCCATCTATGTGGGCACCATACTAACAACAATAGCCACAGCAACAGCACTGATGGTTTCATCTCTTATGTGTGGTTGAGTATGGCAGGAAAAAGCCTTAAAGAAAAGGAGCCATGTGACTATTGCCAAGAATGAAGTGAGCCAGTCACCCAGTGGTTTGAACAGGGTTTGATCAGCCAGTTTGATCAGGCATTTTATTTGTTTCATCAATTTAAGACCTATAAAACAGAGCCTCTATGATTACAGCATAGTGGTACCAGCAACCGAGAGATAGGTCAGTAGAATAGGAGGTCCAAAAAAAACCAAGGGATCCAACTACATATGGAAATTCAGTATAGATAAAGGTGTCATCTCAGATCACTGGGGTCAGGATGGTCTTCATAATAAACGCTTTTGAGAAAACTAGATGCCATTTAGAAAAAGATGAAACTAGTTCTATTTGTCACTTCCCACCCAAGAAAGAAATCCAAGTGGATCAGTAGTCCAAATTGTAAAAAATGAAATGATGCAAGCACTTGAACGAAACCTGGGTGAATCCCTCTATAACCTGGATTCAGAGAAAATCTTTCTGGCAATGACTCTAAAATCCAGATGCAATGAAAAGAAACATGAATAAGTTTAACTCTTAAAGACAAAACCAAACGAAAACCAACTTTGATAAGTCAAAAACCACGATAAGCAAAGTCAAAGGCACAAGGTAACATGAGAGAAAATATTTGCAACATAGAGCACACTTAAGTCATTAATAACCTAATATATAAAGAACTTTTCAAAATTGAGGGTAATACCTTAATATTCCTATTTTTAAAAGGTGAACAAAAGACAGTAGACAATTTACAAAAATAGTAACAATGCTTTTCCACATATGAAAGATGTACAGTTTCACTCGTAGAAAGACAAGAAAAATGAAAAGCACACCCTAGTGAAATACAATTTGGCATCTATCAGAGTGGCAAAAATTAAAAGCCTAACCGTACACCCTCTGTTGATGAGGCTGTGGGAAAAGGAACCCTCCTAGATTGTGTGTGGGAAGAGAATGGGGACATCTCTATGAAGGGACATTTGCATTTATCCTTGGACCCAGCAATTCCACGTCTAGGAATGCACTCTGAAGACGAACCTGCAGCAATATGAAAATACATGTGCACAGGTTTGTCCATTACAGAAATGCATGTCATTTCAAAATACTGAAAGTTACCTAAATACACAAGCATAAGAGAGAGATTATGATAAACCATCGTACATACACATCATGGGTCTTAACATGAAAAACAGGAATGAGGATGATTTGGTTTTCCTGGTAGATATAGAAGGATTTCCAGGATATATTGCCAAGTAAGAAGAATAAAATGTAAGAGTATAAATAGAGTGCCACCTTTTGTATCAGAAAGAAGAGGAAGTAGAAGGTATAGGTATATATGCTTAATTTTACGAAAAGAAACACAGAAAGGATATCGCATAGAATCAGTTACCTACGACAAGCAGAAGTGCAGAGGAGGAGATAGTGAACGGAGTGAGACTCCTCTGGGTACACTGTTTTGCATAGCTTGGATTTTTGAAAGCAGGTTGATGTCCTTCGCATTCAAAAATTACAGTCAACAAGAATGGGGGGAAAACTAATAGTGAATGCAAACAGAACCAAATGAATCCAACCGCATTTCGTATGAACTAAAAATATTACCAAAAAAGGGGAGAAAAAGCAGTACGCTTTTGAATATAGAACTTAGGCACCATGTTAAATCTTGAACAGACTACCCTCAGTCTAGGCGGGAGAGAGAACTGACACCAAACTCCTTTTGGTGTCATGTGGTGTCATGTGGACCTAGCAAATCTGAATCTGGTTTGTGAGTATGGTAGGAGTGAGCAAATGTGTAGATGAGGAACATAAAACAGATGCCTGCAGGATAAGACGGGATGGGAGGTCTCAGAATGAAACCCCAACTCTGTCCCTTGAAAGGGCCTAGACTAAGCAGTGGCACCCCAGTAGCAGTGAGCACATCTAGAACCCGGATCCCAGCTTCCTAAAACCATTCCCCACTAAAACAAACCAGCGTTCTTAGAGAAATTGCTAATTTCAGGGCTTGGGCGGGGAAGGTACCCCTTGCCCCCCTCCCTCCCCCCCCACCCCCCACCAAAGAGCCTAGAATATTTTATGCCAGAAACTAAGAAGTGCTCAAAATAACAGTAAGGTCATCTCACAAGGACACAGGAGTCAGTATGAAGGGGCCCTCACTGGTCAGCTCTGGGACAGTTTGAGCCTCAAAATAAAAGGGACAGTAGCGGAGTATAACCTGTGGAGTAAAACGGAAATCCATGTGTTCTTACCAATGGTGAACAGATGAACAAATGTCAACGAGATGAACTGAACAGATGAAGTAGGTGGGCAGGGGCGTGGTGCACAGTGCCCCGCTGACTGATAAATGTCACGGCAGCCATGGAGACAGAAGATCACCACTTTCCTGCCATTGTATTGAAGACTGGGTGAGGGAAAAGGTCCTCGGTGCAAGTTAAACCAAGGGGGAGATTTGGAGCAAGATATTTTCATCATCTCAAAGATCTTCCCCAGTGATTTTTGACTAGGTGTGAGGGGAAAAAATAGTCTCTACACAGTGGGAGAATCCAAATAGAATCTGGCGTGGGTCATCAAAATTAGTGTCACTAGGGGCACCTGGGGGGCTCAGTCAGTTAAGCGTCTGACTCTTGGTTTCGTCTCAGGTCGTGATCTCATGATTTGTGGGTTCCAGCCCCATGCTGGGCTGTGAGCTGACAGCATGGAGCCTGCTTGCGATTCTCTCTCCCTCTCTCTCTCCCCCTCCCTTGCTCTCTCACTCTATTCATTTTTTATTGCTTTCTCACTCACTTTATTTCTCAAAATAAATAAATAAACTTTAAAAATACTAGTGTCACTAATGAGAAGCAAATAGGCACGGCGTGCCTTTGGAAAAGACACACCACGCTCATAGAGTATGCCGGCTGAGGATACATAACCTGAAGGTCATGGTGGTGGAAGGTCAGGGAAGAGGGCAAGGATTTGTATTAATATGATGTCTTGCTTTAGATAATGTTAATCACTTAAATCAATTGTTCTAGAGTTACTAAATTACATACACATATGTATATGCACATACATATATACGTTTACATATGAAAGGCAATGAAGAGATCCGGAGAACCCATTGCTACTCCAACTTTTCCACGAAAGAATTCTGGATAGCAGAAGCAAAAATAAATGGTCTGGGAGCAGCTCTGGACATGCAGTTTTCAGAGGAAATGTCTTTGAAGTCTTGTGCTTTATCTCCAACATTCTATGAAATTTGCATTTCTGCTCCATAATCATCTTTACTTACTTTAAAAATAAAATAATGCTTTAAGTCGCTCATAATTGAGTAAAATGGTATGCCAAGATAACAGAGCTCATTTATTCTACCTCCTCAAGAATCCTTTGATAGACATAAAACTAGCGCCCCTCCACCCCCGCCATAATGAATGATAGCTCAGCACCACCTCTGTGCTTTCCAAGCTTCTGTTGTGTCTTTGCAAATAGCCCTGAGAAA